AGATGAGCTGACTAGCTTCAATTTGAATTTCTTATGGCTTCTCCTCCCTTCACGGATTGCTGCCTTGTCATGGCGAAGGGGCTTGAGTAATTCAGAGCATGGCATGGGTTATGCCGTCCCAGGACACACAAGAAAGACAGGTCATAGTGGAGAGTTCCGACTAAACGCGATCCACCTGGAGCAGGAACTGGCAAGCCACTCCAGTATCTTTGCAAAAAACAAACACACAAACAAACAAGCTCCATGGACAGAAACAAAAGGTAAAAAGATATGACGCTGGAAGATGAGCCCCTCAGGTCAGAAAGCATCCAATATGCTACTTAGGAACAGCAGAGGACAACTGCAAGTAGCTCCAGAGCTAATGAAGTGGTTCAGCCAAAGCCGAAAGGATAATCAGCTGCGGATGTGCCTGGAAGTGAAAAGAAAGTCCGATACTGCAAAGAAAAATACTGCATAGGAACCTGGAATGTAAGATTTATGAACCGTGGTAAACTGGATGTGATCAAATAGGAGATTACAAGAATAAACATTGACATCCTGGCCGTCAGTGAACTAAAATGGATGGGAATGGGCAAATTCAACTCAGATGATTACCGTATCTACTATTGTGGGCAAGAATCCCGTAGAAGAAATGGAGTAGCCCTCATAGTCAACAAAAGAGTGGGAAAAGCTGTACTGGGATATAATCTCAAAATGATAGAATAATTTCAGTACGAATCCAAGGCATACCTTTCAACATCACAGTAATCCAAATTTATGCACCAACCACTGATGCTGAAGAGGCTGAAACTGATCAATTATATGAAAACGTACAACAGCTTCTAGAACTGAGACAAAAGAAAGATGTTCTTCCCATTCTAGGGGATTGGAATGCTAAAGTAGGGAGTCAAGAGATAAAAGGAACAACAGGTGAGTTCGGCCCTGGAGTTCAAAACGAAGCAGGGCAAAGGCTAATAGAGTTTTGTCAAGAGAACAAGCTGGTCATCACAAGCACTCTTTTCCAACAACACAAGAGGCAACTCTACACATGGAAATCACCAGATTGGCAATACCGAAATCAGATTGATTATATTCTCTGCAGCCAAAGATGAAGAAGCTTTATACAGTCAGCAAAAACAAGACCTGGAACTGATTGTGGCTCTGATCATCAGCTTCTTATAGCAAAATTCAAGCTTAAACTGAACAAAGTAGGAAAACCCACTGGGCTAGTCAGGTTTAATCTAAACCAAATCCCTTATGAATACAAAGTGGAAGTGAAGAACAGATTTAAGGAACTAGATTTGGTGGACAGAGTGCCTGAAGAACTTTGGATAGAAGCTCATAACATTATACAGGAGGCAGCAACAAAAACCATCCCAAAGAAAAGGAAATGCAAGAAAGCCAAGTGGCTGTCCAACGAGGCCTTACAAATAGCAGAGAGGAGAAGGGAAACAAAATGCAAGGGAGATAGGGAAAGTTACAGAAAATTGCATGCAAAAAATTGAATCTCCTTGCTAATTCTTCCAAAGAATAACAAGGAGAGACAAGAGGGCCTTTGTATATGACCAGTGCAAAGATATAGAGGAAAAGAATAGAAAGGGAAAAACCAGAGATTTGTTCAAGAAAGTTGGAGACATTAAATGAAAATATTGTGTAAGGATGGACATGATAAAGGACAAAATGGTAGGGACCTATCAGAAGCAGAAGACATCAAGAAGAGGTGGCAAGAATACACAGAGGAATTATACCAGAAAGATCTGGATGTCCCGGACAACCCAGATAGTGTGTTTGCTGACCTTGAGCCAGACATCCTGGAGAGTGAAGTCAAGTTGGCCTTAGAAAGCATGCCAAACAACAAGGCCAGTGGAGGTAATGGCATTCCAGCCAAACTATTTAAAATCTTAAAAGACGATGCTGTTAAGGTGCTGCGGTCAATATGCCAGAAAGTTTGGAAAACTCAGCAGTGGCCAGATGATTGGAAAAGATCAGTCTACATGCCAGTCCTAAATAAGGGCAGTGCCAAAGAATGCTACAACTCCCAGAAGTACAAGCTAGATTTTGAAGGGGCAGAGGAACTAGAGACCAAATTGCTAACATGTGCTGGATTATGGGGAAAACCGGAGAGTTCCAGAAAAACATCTACTTCTGCTTCATTGACTATGCAAAAGCCTTTGACTGTGTGGACCACAACAAACTATGGCAAGTTCTTAAAGAAATGGGGCTGCCTGACCAACTTGTCTACCTCCTGAGAAATCTATATTTGAGGCAGGAAGCAACAGTTAGAACTGGATATGGAACAACTGATTGTTTCTAAATTGGGAAAGGAGTACGACAAGGCTGTATATTGTATCCCTGCTTATTTAACTTATATGCAGTATACATCATGCAAAAGGCTGGACTGGATGAATCCCAAACTGGAATTAAGAAGAAGTATCAATAACCTCAGATATGCAGATGATACCACTTTGATGGCAGAAAGTAAGGAGGAATTAAATAACCTCTTAATGTGGGTGAAAGAGGAGAGCACAAAAAAAAAATGGTCTGAAGCTCAACATCTAAAAAACTAAGATCATGGCCACTGGCCTAATCACCTCCTGGAAATGAAAGGGAAGATATGGAGGCAGTGACAGATTTTACTTTCTTGGGCTCCATAATCACTGCAAATAGTGACAGCAGCCACAAAATTAAAAGATGCCTGATTCTTGGAAGGAAAGCAATCACAAACCTAGACAGCATCTTAAAAAGCAGAGACATCACCTTGCCAACAAAGGTCCACATAGTCAAAGCTATTGTTTTTCCCATAGTGATGTATGGAAGTGAGAGCTGGACCATAAAGAAGGCTGACCGCCAAAGAATTGATGCTTTTGAATTGTGGTGCTGGAGGAGACTTTTGAGAGTCCTCTGCACAGCAAGGAGAACAAGCCTATCCGTTTTGAAGGAAATCAAGCCTGAGTGCTCACTGGAAGGACAGATCCTGAAGCGGAGGCTCCAATACTTTGGCCATCTGATGAGAAGAGAAGACTCCCTGGAAAAGAACCTGATGTTGGGAAAGTGTGAAGGAAAGAGGAGAAGGGGACGACAGAAGACGAGATGGTTGGACAGTATCATCGAAGCTACCAACGTGAATTTGACCAAACTCCGTGAAGCAGAGGAAGACAAGAAGGACTGGCATACTGTGGTCCATGGGGTCACGAAGAGTCGGACACAACTTAATGACTAAACAACAACATGGCTTCTCCATAAACAGGAACCAAGAGCTCTTATGAATAAATGATGGTGTGTTCTGGAAACAGCTGTTCAGAGAATTCATAATGGGAAAGAAGCATTTTTGCATGCATATTTACCTTTCCTGGGGCCCCCTTTTTTCTTTAATCCTTTGTTAATGAATATATAGCTTGCCAGCTTTGCAACCTGTTTACCTTCAGCTTCGAAACACCATCAGAAGAGACAAAGAAAAAGTGATAATGCTCCATCTGACAAATAAAACCTTGTTCTGTTCCAATTAACTGAATGCCAGCTGTTGCCTAGCATGAGCGAGTTATTTTTGGATATTAGGGATGCATTTATGACTGATTAAAGCAGAATGAAAGGAATAGCTATTTATCAGTATCATAATTAAGCATCATTGTTTGCCCCATCAATTATTAATGGAATAGTGTTCACAAGTGGGCTTGGTCCTGTAACATCATTAATCGGCTTGTCTTTAAAAATATATACATGTCACACACTAATATTAAGTTTTGTACGAGAAGCCCCAAAATTGGCCAGGGTTAATATTAGGAATGTGGATTTCTGTATCTTTGGCCACTTAGTGTTTGTCAGATCATGCTTATGAATATAAATTTCCGTGTATTTCAAGTTAATTCTGACACTGGCCCATCTCATGAATATTAATGTACACACAGCTGATCTCTCTGCAAATGATCACATCCATAAACATGAAAACACTGCTAACTTGCAGTAATGAGCACACTCTTGGATTTTGGTCCCAACTCAGCTTCGTGATTCTGATGTTACAATTTAATGCTATATTCCCCCCCCCCACTTCCATCCTTCCTCAGTCCCTGGGGAACTTGTGTTATTAATTAAGCATTTCCCCAGAAAATGGGACCTATGTTAACTGTTCCTGTTGACTCAGAACATTATCTATAGAGGCACTTTACACTTCCACACATGAATATACTGTGATCCCAGAGGACAAAGTTGCATTTTCTGATAAAGCCATGCATGGATTGGATATAACCACAGGAGAAACTCATAGGGGGAGGATTCCTATGACATGACATATTTTTTCTGCAACCTGAGTTTGAGTTTATAGGTGGGTTTGAACATGTTTATGAATAATCTGGTAAGAAAGACCAGTCATAAACCTGTCTGAACTTGATTATGGGTTCGAATGCAGGTTGCAGAAAAAATGTGAAACGTTGTAGAAATCTCCCCCCTATGCACAGTCAATATATGAATGAGATTAGATAACTATTTGGTCTGATGAAGTTACCTCTTCCATCTCTATATTCTGAACTCTGTTGCCTCTTTGTCTCCCTGACCCACAATTTCTAATAGTGGCCAAAAACCTATTCCTTTATGTGACCATGTAAAGGCAGCTTTTTAACCAAATCTTTGCTCCCACCCCAACCAACAGAGTCTTCCTTACATGCTTGATCATGCACTATTTGTGAATTTCTGAAGATGATTGGTCACCTGACTGATTGCACAGAGAGGCCCCACAGGAGGGAAAAACCATGTCCTTCCATGTGTAGCTTTTCTCCAGTTGGACTTTGTCCGTATGTTGTTGTTCGTTGGTCAGTTTATGGCCCTTTTCAGCATTTTGGTTTGGAAATTGTATACCTAAAAGCTCACTACTGACCTCATCTCCAACTTCCTAAACTGACGATGAGCCTGTTGTAGACATAAGTAGACTTTGCTTGTGCTCCCACATTACTCTGCAAGCAATACCGTTGAAAGATGGGTAAAAGAAGGAAGCTGCAACTGGCAGATTGTTCACTCTCCTCCCAGGAAATATGCAGCGTTTGATTCCAAACAAAAGCCTCTGCATTGCACTGAAGACAGTGGAACAGGGTAATTACCTACCTACTTGAGAATATTAAAAAAGGGAGCTAGGAGGTAAAGAGGTCTTTCTACCCAAATTTCAATCCCAAAAGCTGTTGCTGCCTCATTCTTACCCAGATGCAACTAAACATGGAGACAAGCCATGCTGAAGGTCTCTGGAATGGGCAATCATGCAACAAGATCTTGGACCACCCCATTGGGGGCATCCAGCTTGTAACAGAATAGTTTCCCATAGAAACCTACCATATGCCTACCTTGATGTCACATTTCATTTTCCTGGGCTTTTAAAATCCTGTGCTAATTGCTTCATTGGCCAATCAGCATGGCAACAGGGGAAACAAGGTGAAGATAATACAATAAATATACATATAAAAACAATTTACATAACAGAAATACTGAACAGAATAGGAAAGCTAAAGGAGAGGGGGGAAAGAAAAAAAAAGGGCATCAGGAATTATCTGATGGGAAGGCCTGCCTAAACATCCATGTTTTTAATTGATTCTTAAAAATACCCAGCGAGGGAGCCACGCGAATCTCAGGAGGTAGGTTGTTCCAGAGGCGAGGAGCCACTGCCGAGAAGGCCTGATTTCTTGTCTTCTCCTTCCGGGCCTCCCTCGGCGTTAGGCTCCTCAGCCTCACCTCCTGGCTCGCACGAGTGACACGGGTAGATCTTGGCGGGAGAAGGCGTTCCACCAAGTATCGAGGTCCTAAACCATTTAGGGCTTTATATGTGAGCATCAACACTTTGAAGTCAATGCGGAATCGGATGGGCAGCCAATGCAATGCGGCCAGAGTGGGTGAAATATGTTGGTATTTTCTCACTCCACTGAGTAATCTGGCCACCGCATTCTACACCATGAGAGTTGCTACTAGACAACAATACTGAGGAAAACAAATGGGGACCCACTTGCACATTACCAAAATGTATGACCTGAAAGAAGGACAAAAGAAGGAAACACGTGCCTGCATGAAATTTGCATATACTACTTTACACGCAGAGCTGGAATTTTAAAATCTCTGTAATTGAAATTGAAAGGCAATACCACTTACTATAGTGGGGGAAAGAATGTGACTTGGTGACCTGTGTGTCAATCTTTGTTTAGGCTGGGGTGGGCAAGAGGTGTCCATGGAACATGCAGGCCCGGCCATCTGACCTGCCTCCAATATAAAACTGACTCAAAAAGATGCGTGTGTGTCCTCTAGGGGTTGTGAGTACAAATGGTTAGAAGGCCTGCCAATACCCCTAGTCCTCTCCACACCCCAAAATTGGTCTTTCTTTTTTAATTATTAACCATTGAGGCCTCTAGAGTGCATCTTCCATTAGGGAATGGGAGCCAAAGAATTATGTTCTATGATCCAAGGATGAGCATATGTAGCCCCTGGACTCCTGGAATTTGGTCTCCCCCACTGTGCACGCTGCTTTAAGGATTGTGTGTGTGTGTGTGTGTGTGTGTGTGTGTGTGTGTGTTTAAGCTATATTTGGGTTGGGCAGCCCTTTAAATGAAGACATCTCAAGTAGAAGACTATTATTTCTAAACTAGGACATATAGTCATTCCAAGAAGAAATACTACTGATGAGTTCAAAGAATCAGGTGACTTACATAAGATGTCCAGCAAATGCAGCTGTAACTTGCTAATGCCACATGCACGTTTATTTTGTTCATGTTTTTATTTGTATTTATTTCTTTTTGCAGCTACAATAGTACTGAATGAACTGAACTGGACAGCTGCATTAGATGATGTCTTCAAAAAGAACCGAGAGGAGGATCAAACTTTACTATGGCAAGTTTTTGGCAGCGCTACTGGCCTTGCCAGGTATTACCCAGGTAAATTTGCATTTTTGAGGAAATATATTTCTTCTTGGGCCTGTACCTTCTCTACAGCCAGCTTCCATAACCATCGCTGGATGTTGTTAACAGGACACAAAGAGAGAGAGAGAGAGAGATCTTTCACTAAGACAAAAGCTGATCACCTTGGTCTTAAGAGTATCGAAAAGGGCATGACAAAAAAGCTAAGGTTCCAGATTTTAATTAACCCAAGGCTCTTAGAGCAAAAGGGAAGATGTCTCTAGTGAAATGTTGTCGGAAATTTTCAACAGGCACTCTTGCTTTTGTATAGGGACAACAGTGCTCTGTGTGATAGTCATAAGATTTTATGTGGCAATAGCCTCCTGTAACCCTGGGAGGGCTTAACTTAAATGCTTGGTGTATAATTTTGCTTAGTGAAATTAAAGAGACATAAACCAATTTCACTGGGAATCTTTGCCCTTAGAACTGTCTTCAATCAATACCTCTGAAGATTATGGCTCTACCACTGGAGTTCAAACTGATTAATAAAGAGAGAAGGGTTTTGTTTTATGCATGCATCTGTTCTGCTCTTTAGAGAATCTCATTACTGTACCATAGTAATTAATTTAAGTGGGTGTATATTTTTAATGTCTTTGGGCTACTGGTAGACTCAGTTCAAATTAATATAGGAGGCTTATCTAACACAGTTAGTTTAATCTCCTTCTGTAAAGGAGAAGTTAAAAAAAATCAAGCAATCACATCTTTCCTTATGACTAAATATTGAATATTCTGAATAGCTAGTACTTTCTGTATAACCCTTTAGGGTCTGGTGTGAATTTGGATTCTAAAGACTGTAGGTTTATATTTCTTAGTCTTGTCTGAAATAGTTTTCAGAAGTTTTTTCTCTAAGAAACCAAGAAAGACTTGGGTTTTTGAGATTAGATGATAGGGATCCTGCATACTTAATTCCTCCACCATTTCTGTCCCTCTACTACTGTTGTATCTTTCAGCTGCTCTTGATCTGTCTGTCTGTCTGTCTGTCTGTCTGTCTGTCTGTCTGTCTGTCTGTCTGTCTGTCTGTCTGTCTGTCTGTCTGTCTGTCTGTCTGTCTGTCTGTCTGTCTGTCTGTCTGTCTGTCTGTCTGTCTGTCTGTCTGTCTGTCTGTCTGTCTGTCTGTCTGTCTGTCTGTCTGTCTGTCTGTCTGTCTGTCTGTCTGTCTGTCTGTCTGTCTGTCTGTCTGTCTGTCTGTCTGTCTGTCTGTCTCTATCTATCTATCATATAGTAGCAAGCCACTAATTCAGGCCATTTACAAAAGTCAAACACAAACCTAAAACAAATCCAAAACTATACGTATCAATGACAAAAACAAAACCAGACATAAGCATAATATAAAAAAACGCTCACCCTGGATGACAACAGCTAAATAACACAGGATAGGTCATGGGAAGGATGTTCCTGAATGCCTCTTTGAATAGCAGCATTTTGACCTGCTTCCTAAAGGACAACTAGATACAACTGAGATGCTCTCTGGCACCTCAGGGATTGGCTGCAAATTAGCCACAGCAAATTGAGCAAACCTCATTCAAACACTAGTAGGATTCTGGCCAGAGAGTCTTTAGCCATGTTCAGGCCTTCTGTCTGAATCTGTGTAGAGCTAAGAAGGTGATAATGGGAGCCCAGCCCATTATTGCCACGAGACACCAGCTCTTTTAGCCCCACTAGGAGCTCTCTATTGAGGATCTCTTAGACCTTTTTATGCCCACCATAAAGGTGTGCAGCAGAACCTGTAAGTGCTTTTACATGGAAATGCTCACAGCTCCTGATCATAGAACTAGCCTTAATACATTCAGCTGCATACACTGGCAGGTTTCACTGCCTCACATTAAACAGGTGAAGCCCTGTCTCCTTTCCGCTTGGGGTAGGGATGTGGGGGGATTGGGCTTATGTGGAAAGTTACAGCCCATAAATAGGACGTTTTGTCTTACCAGAATTCAGATTCAGTTTAGTGGCCCTTATCCAGAACAGTAGTGCACCCAGATACTGGTTTCATGGCTTTGCTAATTATGGAATATAAGCCGTTGAATATCATGGTCTGTATATCTCTATCTGGACATGTTCTGCTTCTCAGAGGTTACCACCAAGAGCCGCTCACCCTTCCGTGGGCCATCTGCCCCCAGTCTTCCACTCAGGAATACAATTCACTCTGATCCCTAGTCAAGGAATCTCACTTTTTCTGATGCAAAGGTGAGGAAGATGCTATGTTAAACCTCTTGGTGTTTTCCCAGAATACAGTAGGTCCCTAAATGGATGAAATTCTGCAGGTGCAACCAGAATAAGAAACCAAAATTGTGTTCATAGACATAAATTGGGAGTGGGCCGGTGACCCAGATAGGCGGGATACAAATCAAATCAAATCAAATCAAATCAAATCAAATCAAATCAAATCAAATCAATCAATCAATCAATCAATCAATCAATCAATCAATCAATCAATCAATCAATCAATCAATCAATCAATAACATAACATAACATAACATAACATAACATAACATAACATAATTCTTAGAGAAGAGTTTTAACTTCCTTGAGGTCTGATTTGAGTTTCTCTATTGGGGAATTTTGCAGGAAAAAAAAAAGCAAAATGTGCTGTTTATATATCACCCCATAGGACTTAAAGCACTCTCTGGGCAGTATGCAATTTGATTAGGCAGGCTACACATCCCCCCGCCCCCCCAATGAGCTGGGTACTCAATTTACTGACCTTGGAATGGTGGAAGGCTGAGTCGACTTTGAGATAGTTACCTGAGCCCGAGGGGATTGAACTCAGGTCATGAGCAGAATCTTGACTGCAGTTTAACCACTGTACCATGAGGCTCATATAGAGGATCAAGAACACAGTTAGTCCTTTCTGTTGCTCCCTTTTGCATAATAAAAATATTGGATTACTGTAACATGCTCTATGTGGGGCTGCCTTTGAAGATGGTTTGGAAAGTTCAGCTGGTGCAAAACTCTGCAGCCAGACTACTAAATGGAGCCAGCTACAGGGAGCACATAATGCACCTGTTACAAGAACTGCACAGGCTACCAGTCTGTTTCCGGGCCCAATTCAAAATGCTGGTCATTACCTATAAAGCTCTATAAAGCTTGGGTCCAGGCTGCCTGAAGGACCCTATCTCCCTATATGCCCCTTCTCAGCGATTATGATCAGCAGAGGAGGCCCTCCTCTTGATCCCATTGCAGCACAAGCACAGCTGATGGGGACACGGGAGAGGGCCTTCTCAGTGGCAGCTCCCAGGCTATAGAATACTTTCTCTCACGAGATCAGGACCTCCCTGTTTATCCTTTAGAAAAAAGCTAAAGGCCCATCTCTTCAGGCAGGCTTTTAACAATTATAACTGAATCCCTGATCCCCATTTCAATAGAAGTTTTAATCTTTTTAATGTTTTAATGTTTTAATATTTTAATTGCATTTTAAATCATATATTGTTTAATTTATCTTTTAATATTTAACTTATTGTGTCTTTAAATTGTGTGAATGTTAATGTTGTGAACCGCTTTGGGTCCCTTGTTGTCTTAAAATGTTTGAAACCTGTTTTAAATGCATGGAATCGATAGTCCACCTTGTGAAACCTATGCAAACTTAATTTGGCTTTGTTCTGAGTCTTCGTTAATTTTTGGTGATTTTTTTTCCCCTCATTGAAAAGCATTGAACGGATTGTATATATATATATAAATATACAATCAGCAATACACACACACACACACACACACACACACAAGCAATATATATATTCTACACACACACACACACACACACAAAAGCAATATATATATTGTACATATATCCATATACAAGCAATGATTTCCTAAGTAGCTGGATTGTAATAAACCATTGTCCTTACAGAGGCTTTCTGAGTTTGTCTCTGAGATCTGATTTTTTTTTTTTGCAACACATATTGCAAATGGTGCATGGCATCTGTATTTCTTTCCTTATCTTTCCCAAATAATGGTCCACTTAAAAAAATATTTTGCTAGGACTTATAAAAAGTTTCTTCGCAATCATTTTAAACCCACTAATTAACTGGTAGCCAAATTTAAAATCTGTGATTACAACTTCAGTTGATCCTTTTGCACTATTCTCATGGATCCCATGAAATGGCTTCGGAGTCATGGTTCCTCTGTTACAGAGTGGTTTGCCACTTCTCCAAGATTCATTCCCAGGTGATTGTAGGGATGAATCACACCACTGTTATGTGGGTGAGTGTGTGTTATATTATACTTTGGAATGGAGAACTTGTGAGGTTGGTTCTGGTACTCTCTGCTTTGAATATCCATCTGCCCACAAGGCACCTTACCTGAATTTAACAATAAATTAAGTGATGTGCCCTGTCTTGAAATTCTGTGACTAAGGCTGTCCCGAGATGCATGGATTCACCTCCCCCCCCTTTTTCCCCCTCAAGGAAAAGAGATAAGAAGCACTTGCTCTTTATTTTATACTGTTTGCAGTTGCTTCTTAACATCCAGTTCAAGTAAATTGTGGTTTGTTTGATCTACAGACCAGGGAAAGCAAACCAGGATCAGACTGCATTTTGATACCTTGGGCTTATTTGCTCTGTTTTGTTTTTAAATACAGCTCACTGTGAAGTCCAGAGGCAGGGAATGGAGTGTGTTTTAAATCAGAAGCAGATGCCTCCTCTTTCTTTATGTGAGGCATGGGAAATGGGCAGAGAAGGAGGTGATGGGGAGAATGGGAGCCCAGTGATTCTCATGGTCAAGGAGCTTCTGTTGCACCTGAACCCATGTGCCACACTTGAAATTTGTGTACAATATACCGGCCATATGAAGCAATAAGTTAAAACATTTTAATTTAGGGCAGGCAAGCATTTAATGTTATTTTATGCCCAGCAGCTCACATGCCCTTGACTTGGCCGTAGGCATCAGTCTTTCTCATTCAGTTATCTGAACTGGCATATGTAATATATATTCATCACCCATAGCAACCACATATCAATCAAATGAGTTTGACAGTGTTCATGTT